TAGTTTGAACTTCAGCCTTTACCTATTATAGATATGTTAGCGTTGCGTTTCTTCTTTGTTGTGAACAGTAGGGAGTTCGTGTACATATATTAAATAATAATATAAAATATATAATGTTAAGAAATATAGGAAAAGGGGAAATAAAACATAGAGGTACACTCCGCCAATCCACGAGATCATCTTTCAGTTACTAGTTATAGTAGCTTTCTTCCCTCAAAAAAAGTTGTAGTAGCTTTCAGCCAATTCAGTTTTGGCATCAGCAATCTTTTCCATCCGAGTATATTTAGTGTTGGAAGTCAGTAAAGTCCAACGGGTCAGTTGATAAAAGTGATGGACTGAATTGGGAGAAGCTCATCCCCTGTATATGCTTTATTCCGTCAGTTTGCCTTGTAATAAAAAATACTTAGCATTTCTTATTGTACTGATTCAATTGATGTTCTATCTATTCCATTGACAATATCGGTGTTTCCCCCAAAAAGAAAAGGAATGATTGCTTGCTTGCTATGCCTTCAAATATAATGAACATCCGGTATATATGCAAGTAGCGGCCTTGTTCATCATGTAAGTGCCTAATTTGTGAAATATATAATTGCGTATTGGAGTCAGGTCTACATTATCTATGTAGATAACTTGGATCTCTCTAGAAGTGCCAACTAGAAAATAAAATTGACATTATGAGATAAAAAGTGAACTTATTATTTTTAATTATAAAAAATATGACTAATTAAGGCGGATTCCTTCAAATATTCCAAATACTTTGATAGTGCTTTTTTTGTTAATCCAACAGTCCCAACTCAACCGATAGGTCGGTCGGTTCCTAACTTGAGGGTCATTCGACCCATTTTTGGGTTTGGGCCTTGTGACGCCATGCCTCGATAGATCTTAAAATATGACATTCTCCGCAGTCACAAAGAGGTCACCCACTATATTTAGTGAAAGATAGTGAGCAAGTGTCAACCCAACTGAATTAATTCTCTTGTCATCACACGAATTTGCAACCAATAGACATGCCATGCATCTTTTGAAGCATGCATGATAAAACGAAATTCCATAGAATTTCTTCTTTCAAGAGTTAATTTTTTGTCATTTAGTTCCTCTAGTTGTTTCATTGTTTGTGCATGATATAAAATAGTCCATCTCTTATATGTGTGAAATACTTTCTGTTAGTAATAATACTGAAAAAATGCATCTCTTCTAGTGGTAACTATACTAAAAAATTGTGTTCATGTACTATTTAGTGCATGTAGTAAATATCAGGCTTCGTATAACAATCGAAGTATTGGCACCATGGTAGGTCATAAGCAAATTATATCCAAGACTACATGGATGGATACCTTGGATCTCAGCCGATGAAAAACTTACTGCATTTGTATCTCAGCCGATGGAAAATTTAACATGCTCTCACCATTCTGGATTAAAAAAACATAGAGCTTGTTAGCAGATTTAATAATGGCTACACCAAGAAAACAAACTCAGAAATGTTCAAACACCAGCTATATTACCTTGAGCCATATATTTGCCGTGCTTTTGTATCCAGTTGCAAACACAATCGCATCAAATGAGATTCTTTTACTGCATTGAAATTTAACTATGTTGCCCTTGATCTTACTAATGCTCCCTTGAACCTATATGAGATAAAAATACATTGATAACTTGGCATATCAAATCATCATATGTTATGAAGTTATGTCATGTCAAGGATATACTTACTTTGATGATGCCTTTTTTGATCAATCCAACAGTCCCAAATCAATCACCGCAGATCGACCTGTTTCTGCTTTGAGGGTCATTGGACCCATTTTTGGCCTTGTGATGCCATGTCGTGACAGGTCTCCAAATATTAAATACGCTGCCATCACAAGGAGTTTATCCACTAGATTCAATGGAAGATGGTGAGCAAGTGTCATCCCCAAACGAATTAATTCCTTTGTCATTACATGAATCTGCAACCACAAAATATGTCACACCTCTTTTGAAGTATGCATGATAAATAAAATTGCATAGAATTTCTTATTTCAAGAATTAAATTTTTGTCATGTGGTTCCTCTAGTCTTTTAGTTGTTTGTGTGCGATATAAAACAGTCCATCTCCTTTTCTATGTGAAATACTTCCTATTAGTAATAACACTTAAAATTGCATCTCTTCTATTAGTAACTATACTAAGAATTTGCGTTCATGCACCCAATGAACATATATAGTGTATGTACATACCGGGCTTCGTATAACAATCGATGTGTTGGCACCATGGGTCGCAAGGTCATAAGCAATTTCCATCCCGGAGTTGCCGGATCCAACGACCAATACATTCTTGCCAGAGTAGCTCTTGCCTGACTTGTAGCTTGAGGAGTGGATGACATCACCTGGAAAGTTTTCTAGTCCAGGGATCATTGGAATATTCTTTGCACTATTCTCACCACTTGCCACAACAAGAAACTTTGCCGTGAACTTGACTGTGGTGCACTTTGACATGTCCTTTGCCACAATGGACCAACATTTTTCATCACTGTCATATGTGGATGACTCCACGCTGGTGAGATACTTCGGTTGAATGTTGAAATGCTCAACATAATCATCCAAGTACTTCACAAACAAGTTTTTTGGTATATATGTTGGTGCATCTACAGGGTATGACATGTGTGGCAACTCACAGACCTCCTTTGCAAGATGCAGCTTGAGGCGATCATATGCACGGTTGCGCCAGAGTGACGCGCTACAGCTCTCACGCTCGACGATGGCATAAGGAATCGAGAATTGACAAAGGCATGCTGCCGTTGCGAGGCCTGCTGGCCCAGCACCAACAATCAACACTGGAACACTCTCCATTTCAAGGGGAAGAGTTGACAAAGTTGTGGGATAAGTCCGGTGGTAGGTTGCAGTGTTTGTGTGTTTGCTCGATGAACTTTGGATGACAGGCTCGCGTATGGGGGCATATATATGTTGGTATCTTTCATGGGCCAATCTGTTTTTTGGATTAAGGGATGAAAAAGGTAACTATTTATTGAGGCCTAATCCTGGTGCGTACGCGTATTTCCATCTAAAAATGGAACCGTTGTTGGTGTGAAAACGTGTACTGATACAAAATAGGCAGGAAACACACTCTTGATCGATTGCTGTTATCCGAAACTTATCAGCCATCTTTTTTATGTGTAGATTAAAGATTCTTCATGTTTCTTTCCTTTTGCATCGTCACCAATGACAATTACTACTTTAATATTCAAGTGTTTCTTCCTCTCCCCTCCCCCCCCCCCCAAAAAAAAGT